AGAAAAGTGGAGTGTTTTGTCACAGCCATGATCATGGCATGGCCTAGCCTTGTGTCAGTGGATAAGTCCAGGGTACTCAGGGAGTCTAACCTATAGGACTTGGTGGATTGAATGCAAACAAGGGAAGAATGACTCATAGGTTTATGGTAAGAAAGAGACAGAAACAGATTTCAAGTCAGGGAGAATCAATAAATATTTCTAGATATCTTAATTTTGAGACAAGTGTTAGAAACCTAATAGGAGATATTGACTATACAGTTGGAGATAAAAAGACTGAAGCTATATTGGGGAGAGATTTAATTTTGGAAATCATATAAATGTATAAGATCTCCTTATTCTTAGTGGAATATATGTATAATTATATATTATATGATCTTATATAAAGAATGTCAATTTTTTTCTTGTTTTTCAATGATTACTGTTTTTATTTATTTTTGTGGTCTTATTGTACTCCTTAGGATTTCCAGGAAAATGCTGAGTAAAAGTGGTTTTAGTAAGCACCTCTGTTTGTACCTAATCTTCAAGGTAGACTTTCAATACGTGATCATTAAATGTTCTTTTCTTTCCTCTAGGTTATTTTGTAGATAATTTTCCTTAGGTTAAGGAACATTTTCCTCATAGCTTTCTAATCTTGTTTCTTTATTTTTTTAATTATAAATTGATACTGAATTCTCTCGCAAATACTTTTTCTTGTATGCATTAAAATGATGATATTATTTTCTCCTTTAATATAATGATCTCTTTCTGCAATAATTTCAACTTGGTAATGACATATTATTTTTTAAACACATTATTTTGTTACTTCTGCAAATATATTTTATATATTGAATTGGTCTCTAATCACTTCTCATACTATCTCCAATGAATTTTGTATCATGGCTAGGATAGCCTCATAAAATGAGTCTGAGAAATGTCTTTTTTTTTCTATTCTTTACAAAACATGTGCAAGCTGAGAACAATGTGCTTCTTGAATATTTACTATAATAAGCTTTTGTAAAACATCCTGAGCAATCCTCAGTTACTTTTCCTGGAAACAAAGATAACAGAGTTTTTTTAGGATGAGAAATAGATATTCAACATTAATGATAATCATCAATTTGATAGGTACGAATTACTAGCGGCTGATGTTCTTTTGAGTATTTTTTTTTATCATAATAACACTATGGGTTAGTTTCTCTTATTATCCTCTTTTTATATATTAAGGAACTCAAGTTGAGAGGCACTTGAGTGCCAAATGAACGACTGACTTGATTTTGACTCAGGTGATAATCGCAGAGTTGTGGGATCAAGCTTCACACCTGGCTCCGTGCTGAGCATGAAGCCTGCTTGGGATTCTCTCTCTCCCCTCCTTGTTTTCCTCCCACTGCTTGCTTCTTTCTCTCTCAAATTAAAAAGTATAAATAAATTTTTAAAAACTCAAGTTGATGGAAATTAAGGAAATTGGCATCATGCAGTTACTATATAGTAGAATGAAGATTTGATTGATGATGATCTCATTATAGATTTCCCACTATCAATCTCTTTACTGTGACAAATTTATTATGAAAGTAAAACTGCTGAAAGTAATCTTGTTCTATGAGCTTGCATTTATTTTCTTCTTAGGAAATATGGGATGATTAAAATAATCAAATTATCTATGAAGTATATTTTTACGTTATTGAATCTCATTAAAATTTGTAGTGTGCATAGGTTTATATTCAGAAATTCTGATTCATAGCTACTATTCTACTGAGGACTTTCTATCTCTAGACTTACTATTTTTACTGCCTTATCTTGGTGAAATGAGCAAAAGCATATCTTTTCTGCTGCTGAAATCAAGCTCACCTAGACTTTTCTCATGTAAGTCTCATCAAACTGTAGAGGATTATTAATTATAATTAATATTGTAATAATATAATAATTCATTCAAATCACATTGTAACAAATCAATAGTTTATCTTAATGAATGCTTATAGTCATTTTGTTCAGAAGAAAAGGATCCATACATGATATGAAAGGAGATCTGTATAAAGTAATAATTGGTAGGTTGCTATATTATGTTTACTTTTTGATATTTTATAAACTCATAACTCAAATTTTGAAGTTTCTTCTCATCTTTTAAAAACACGGATTTACTTTTTAAAAATACATAAATTATAGTCATGGCAGTAATGCCACAATTTAGGGTGTATTGAAGGGGCTATTTAAATAAATAGAAATAGGGACACCTGCATGGCTCAGTCAGTTAAGCATCAGACTCTTGGTTTTGGCTCAGATCATAATCTCACGGTTTGTGAGATCAAGCCCTGCGATGGGCTCTGTGCTGATAGCATGGAGCTGCTTGAGATTCTCTCTCTCTCTTTTATGCCTCCCCAACTCACATACCCTCTCTCTCCCTCTCTCTCTCTCTCTCAAAATAAATACATAAATATTTTAAAATAAACAGACAAAAATAAAATTATCTCACTTTATATCCTGTGATAATTGGAATTGTGCTACTTAACATTTATAAGAATGCAAAGACAGTAATATAATAAATATTATCAAGTGACATGGTTTAAAATTAAAGTAATTATTATTTTATTACAAATGATATTAGTTATCTATAGCCAAATAACAAATAACTACAAAACATAGTGATTTAAAGCAACCAACACTTATTTCTCAAAATTCTGTAGGTTAACATGACTCCTTGGGTTGGCTATGGTTAAGTCAGGAGCTAGAGAGGTAGGTGCCTAGGATGGATAAGCCTTACTTTCCAAGTGATTGTTCATCTTTAGGGAGGCTAAATTGGGATATTTTACAAGCAGTCTCTGGGTGATGTTCCAATGAAGGAATAGTAAAAAGCACAGGCTTTTAAGGCTTAACCTCTAAAGTCATACAGTGTAACTTTTGTCACATTCTATTGGACAAAGCAAGTCACAAGACCAGCCCCTATTAAAGTGGTGGGGAACTGCATTTCATCTCTTCATGGTATAAGCTGCAAGGTCCCATCAACATAGGACACAGACACGGGGAACATGGTTCATTGAAGACCATTATTTTAACAATCTTCCATACAAAACTAAGTGACAGCTTGAAACATTTCCTTTTGAAATGTAAAGTCTATAATCTTTTAACTTCATGCTGAGATGTAAAATATATTATATTGGTTTGAGAGTCTCATACATCACCCCAAACTGTTTTATGACATTTTAATGAAACTAGGATGCTTTCATCTTTTATAACATAAGAGTTCCTCTGAGATGTTGTAATTTCACCCATAAAAGAATACAGACATCATTAAGAGGAATTTCAGCAGGTATCATTAGAAATATTGTGATACACTATCAGGATAGAACTTTTAACTATCTCATTCATTTCAACAGGTTTATAAAAAAATGGCAAAATAACAATATGAAAGAATCGATACAAATAGTCTTTGTAATTTCTTGTTGATAAAGGTGGACTATTTCAGTGAGTCTGATCTATCTGCTGTGAGCCTATCTATAGTCTGCTACTAAGGGGAAAAGAACTAAAATCTATTCTGAAATTTAGGAATAAAACATTCAAAATTACAATCCACATTTGATTTCCATTTATTGAGCACCTAATGTGTTTCAGATATTATTTAATTCTTACTGTTAATTCTGACCAATGGAATAGAGACATCATACTTATGATACGTAATTTAACAAAAAAGAAATATACGGCTCAGGACTCTAATTTTCCTACCCAAATATTAAGTGGTGACACTCAAATTTCAATTTTTATTTTTAGGACTTGGCCTGATGCTTATGCCATTACCACCTTCCTAAAAAAAACTATATCATAATAAGTCATTATCAAGTGTGATAAAAATTTTATAAAAATATTCCTTTTGCTAAATATCAATAAAAAGGGAGCATCTTAGTTGCAAATGTCTTTTAAATAAACAATTGGCATTTCTTGAATACCAATTACATATGTAACAGGTAGCAGATGGAGAATTTACATGTATTTTCCATTAAATTTCACAAAGCCATTTACAAAGGAGGTGCTGTTATTTTTAATTTTCAGTTTAGGGAACAGGCTTAAAAATACCCTGGCACCATCATCACAATTTAAATTAGTATTAGTACTTAAAAAAAACTTCCAGACAGATACTTAAATGCAGCCATAATTGAGAGCCATTGCTTTTGGTTGCTATAAATTTTAGGAAAAAACTGACATCATTAGAAGCAAGGCTAAAAGATAAAAAACAGAGCAAACTGAATTGCAATATTTATTTGTTATTATTTAGAAATTTCTTAGTGCTTATAATTTTTTCATTTAAATATCATATACAAATAGGTAAACATTATAAGATATGTAAACACATTTTCTGAAGGAAATACATTTTGCTAATGCATAGTTAAAATGGTTTACATCTTAATAGTGTTTGCAGTTTTAAATTAGGAAGGTGAAATGTTAAAAAAACAAAATTGTTACTTTTTTTTACATGAATATAAATTACTGCGTGGGTCAAAATTAGTTCCTACAAAAACATTTAAAAAAAAATAAAGTGAATGAATGAAATTGCTTTAAAAGCAGTGTCTATGAAAACTCACATATATGTTTTTCTTGAAATGTTTTCAAAATCTACTTCCAAATAAATCTATTATAATGTACTTGAATACATTTCAATATTACTCTAATTCATGGGTATTTTACAGGTGTATTAAATAATCTATAGTAAGGCACTCCCTGTGTAAACATAAAAATTAAAAGATATACAGCATTTGAAACCCGTGTTTATATTATGCATAAAACTATAAGTGCTAATCTATTTATAGTCTTATCAACATATCCAGGAAGTTCAGTTACTAAAATCACCAAGTTATATAAAAAATTAAAGATACACTCCCAAAATATTATCTTACTACTTTTTAAAGTGAATAAATTCTTTCATAACAAGTGATGATAAAAAAAAATTCTATTCTATACAATCATGAACATTAAGTTGCCACTACTTTCAGAGACATAACTTACTATCACAATTTGAAATCTGAAATTAAACTTACCAGCAAATTTGATATGAAATTTATTTTCAGGCTTCAATATCTGGACATACAAAGGGCAATTTGGAGCAAAATCTTTTACAGCCCATGCTCTCAAAATTGTTTGGTGGTCCTGAAATGATAAATATTAAATTATCATAAAAGAAACTGAAAAATCTATAATACATAAAGTAAAAATCATTAACCAGTGTGTTTAATGGTCACATCCATAGTTTAAAGTTAAACACACAAAATAATTAATTGCAAGGACTTATTTTTAAAAAAATATTTATTATTTCTATAAAGGAAATTAACACTACCTAATTCAATCAGTGCTAATTATCAGCACTTAAAAAATGAGCAGAGATTAAGAGAAAAGTTTCCTGAAAAACTTAAAATACTCCTCTTGGGAAACAGTTGAGGGTTAGGAGCCTTCAGGAATGCAGTACAACTAAGAGCTTTTATTACAGTTTCCATGGAAAAATATATGGATTTATAACAATTTTAACACTTTTAGAAAGATTGGCAAAAGGGAAATAACTACAGCAACCTTACATGTAGATAATACACTATTTACTTATTTATTTATTTATTTTATTTTTTAATATTTTTATTATTTATTTCTAGGAGAGAGAGAGAGACAGCATGAGCAGGGGAGGGTCAGAGAGAGAGGGAGACACAGACTCTGAAACAGGCTCCAGGCTCTGAGCTGGCAGTCAGCACAGAGCCCGACGCGGGGCTCGAACCCACGAACCGTGAGATCATGACCTAAGCGAAAGTCGGACGCTTAACCGACTAAGCCACCCAGGCGCCCCGATAATACACTATTTAAAAAATGTTTATATAACAATAAAAGTAAAAGGATCTTGACTCTGCATGGGTGAGTTGGAAAAGATCGGTAACTTTCGAATATTAAAAATACCAAAACAGTTAAAAAAAAGTTAAGACTGAGAAAAGGAATAAAAATCCTGCTTGACATTAAATCTTACACATAGTGTGACCCCATAAATTATTACTTAATTCACTAAGTAGATCCAAACAAATCATTAGACAATGTGTCAGTTAGCTAAAATACATTTTGAAAAAGGAAACAAAAACATGTTCGAGGGTAGCACTGTCCTTATAGTAGCCATTAGCCACATGTGGCTGTCTAAATTTAAATTAACTAAAATTAAGCATTACATTTCCCTGTCGCACTGGCCATATTTCAAGTGTTCAAAGCCATATGCGACTAATCCAAAGCTTTATGAATAGTGGAAATATAAGCATTTACATCATTACAGAAAGTTCTATTGGACAATGCTGTTAGAGAAAGAAAAGGATAACTAAAAATACAAGTGGATATAGGGGATTGTTTATTGAAGTGCAGAAAGAAGCTGCTGTCAGTGGTTGGTAACTTTAAGTTGCATGAAAGTTGATGAATAGTAACTCAGAATTCCTTTCGTAGATAAACAGACAATGTGTGTCTTCCAGCCAAATGTTCAAAACATGATGATGAACCTGATACAGTGTGATGGTTAATTTTATGTATCCACTTGGCAGGGCCATGAGGTGCCCAGGTATTTGATTAAACATTATTCTGAATGGGTGTTAAACCCCAGAAAAGGGACAGGCAGAGAACAGGAACCACAAATTTTGTGTATAAGTTTATACAACACCAGCTAACCTCTAAACCATGCATACATGGGACAGAACAAGAGCAATCTCAAGTGAGATTTAAATCACTACCAACTGCTAGGATAATAAAGTTTGCATTCAAGTGAACCAAATTAACTGCTTGCTAAAACAAGAATATCAACACTCTTTGGAGGAGTATGAGTCTCCAAGTCTCCACAAGATAACATAATATTCAGAATATGCAAACTTATTGAATATATAAAGTGCCAGATAATTGTAACCTATTTCATGAGAAACAAACGAAGTTAAGTCCAATAAATATTAGCCTCTAAATGATCTAAATGTTTTAATTATCAGACTAGGGCTTAAATCAGCTAACAAAAGTATTATCACTCAGGTAAATGAAATATGCTCATAATAAATATAGAAAAACTCAGTAAAGTAATAAAAATATTTTTTAAGTTTTTTAAATGTTTACTTATTTATTTGAGAGAGAGAGAGTCTGTGAGTATGCACACACAAGCGGGGGAGGGGCAGAGAGAAAGAGGGAGGCAGAGAATCTGAAGCCCACTCTAGGCTCCGAGCTGTCCCAGACGCCCAATGCCCAACACGGGGCTTGAACCCACAAACCATGAGATTATGAGCCAAAGTTGGATGCTTAACTGACTAAGCTACCCAGGGGCCCCTAGAAAATATTTTTTTAATTAAACAAAAATCTAAAATATCTGAAAAATATTCACTGGATAGGCTTTGAAGTAGAATAGAGATGACATAGGAAAAAGTCAGTGAACTTGATCATAGATCAACAGAATTTATCCAATATGAAAAACAAAGAGAAGAGGACTAGAGAAGGAACAGAGTTCGGGGACTTGTGCAACAATGTAAAAATGTCTTATATAATATAATTGGGTTTCCAAGAAGAACACAAAAGAGAAAATAGAACAGAAAATGATTTGAAGAAATAGTAGCCAGAAACTGCCCAATTTTATTAAAGGCATACTTTTCTAAGTTCAAGGAGCTCTGAAAATCCCCCAAATGGCATATATGAAAAGATTACCACACTAATCACATTGTAGTCAAATTATTGAAAATGAAAAGTAAAGACAATATTTTGAAAACAGCTAAAGAAACACAGTTTTATGACCAAAGACTCTTATCAGCAGTTGTGGAACCAGGTACACAATATCCCAATCTCCAGAATGAGGGAGAAAAAAAATTATTACCTCATAATTTTATAGAGAAAAATCTTTCAAAGAGGTGAAATAAAGGCTTTTTCAATTAATGAAATCTAAGAAAGCATGTTATTATCAGAATCACACTACAAGAAAAGTATAAGAAACTTCTTTATGCTGAAAGAAAATGATACCAGAGTGAAAACTTTAGAAATAAAAAAAAAAGACTATAAGAAATGTTTAATATTGAGTGAATATAAAATAGTTCTCCTTTGGAGTTCTTTAAAATACATATATCTTTGTAAAGAAAAAAATATAGTATTCTTTTGTGGGATATGAAATTTATAAAAATAACAGTAGAAGAATAAATGCAAAGTTTCTAACTTCAATAAATTGTGTGCTATTTAAAAATAAATAAATTGCGTAATATTAACATGAAGCAAATGTGTATTGTAGTCCCTAGAGCAGTCGCTAAAAAACTTTCAAAAGATAATTTCTAAAAACCCAATAGACATATTAAACTTGAGTTACTAAAAGAAAAAAGAAGTCAAATAATTTTTTTAAAAGTAGAAAAGGGAAAACAGAAAACAACTTATGTAGACCTATATCCAACTATATAAATGATGAATGTTAATGAGCTAAATCATATTAAAGCATACAGAATATTAGAAGAACAAGAGAAATAATACTCAATCATAAGCAATTTAGGAGAGATTCATGTTAAATATAAAGTTACTGATAAAAGGAGAAAATGAGAATAAGAAAACAAACAACCCACTTTGAAAATGAGCAAAAGATCTGAACAGACATTTCACCAAAGATGACAAAATAAGCGGGGCACCTGGGTGGCTCAGTCGGTTAAGCCTCCGACTCTTGGTTTCCACTCGTGTCGTGATCTCATGGTTTCGTGGGCTCGAGCCCCGTGTCAGGCTCTGTGCTGACAGCTCAGAGCCTGGAGCCTTCTTCCAATTCTATGCCTCCCTCTCTCTCTGCCTCTCCCCTGCTCTCGCTCTGTCTCTCTTGCTCTCTCTCAAAAATAAACATTAAAAATTTTTTAAATAATGACAAGTATAAGCATATGAAAAGATGCTTAGCATCATATATCATTAGGGAATTGCAAATTAAAACAAGAGTGAAACACCACCCACCACACAACTTTTGGAATGACTAACATCCAAAACACCAACACCACCAAATACCAGTGAGGATGTGGGACACTAGCAAGTTTCATTTATTGCTGCTGGGAATGAAAAATGGTTCAGCAGCTTTGAAAGACAGCCTACAGATTCTTAGAAAACTAAGCATACCCTTACCTTATCATCCAGCATTTGTGTTCTGTGGTATTTACCCAAATGATATATCTACCCAAAACCTGCCCTTGAATGTTTACAGCAACCTTATTCATAACAGCAAAAACCTGGAAGTAACCAGATGTCTTTTAATAGGTAAATTGATAAAACAAATGGGTACATCCCAACAATATAATATTCGGCAATAAAGAGAAATTAGCTGTCCGGTCATGGAAAGACATAGAGGAAACTCAAATGAATACTGCTAAATAAAAGAAGCCTAACTTATGGGGCGCCTGGGTGGCTTAGTCGGTTAAGCGTCCGACTTTCACTTAGGTCATGATCTCGCGGTTTGTGGGTTCGAGCCCCGCGTCGGGCTCTGTGCTGACTGCCAGCTCAGAGCCTGGAGCCTGTTTCAGTCTGTGACTCCCTCTCTCTCTGACCCTTCCCTGCTTACGCTGTCTCTCTCTCTCTCTCCTAGAAATAAATAAAAAACATTAAAAAAAAAAAGAAGCCTAACTTAAAAGGCTGCATACTGTATGATTCCACCTATATGACATCTGGTGAAGGGAAACTATAGAAAGTGTAAGCAGATCAGTGGTTGTTAACGGGCTTGGCAGTGGGGGCAGGTGGAGAAGATGGGATGGATATGTGAAATACAGGGGATTTTTAGAGCAGTGCAAGTATTCTGAAAGACACTGTATTGATGGATAGATATCTTTCTATATTTGTCAAAACTCACAGAATGTACAAATGAAAGAATGAACTTTAATATAAACTATGGACTTTAATTAATAATAAAGCATTTATTTGCAAATATCAATATTTGCTGATCAGTTGTCACAAATGTACCACACTAATGCAAGATGCTAGTAACAGTGGAAACTGGGGAAAAGGGATGGTGGAAATTCTCCATATTTTTGTTCAATTTTTCTGTAAACCCAAAACTGCTAAAAAAAATAGTCTATTAAAAAAATAAGCAAAGTATGAGCTTTAGTCACAAATTCAGGGTTCTAATTTCACTCTAGAATTTACAAACTGCGTAAGTAAAATTA